TATATATATATATATATATATATATATATATATATATATATCTATTGGCTGCTGCCAGAACACCCAAAAGATTCTTCTTTTGGAGGAGAGGAGGGAGGACTTGGCAAGAGGCCCCCCTCTACGAGCAGTCGGGGAGGAATATGTGAAAGGGAGCAGGGTGTCAAACCTACAGTGATGGAGGATTCCAACTCTTCCTTCCCACAGTGGCCTGGAATGACCGAAAAAGGTAATTTTCCTTTCCCCCCCCCTCTCACAATAAATCAGGTTTTTATCTTTTTGGGATGGTAGAGGAAGGAAGAATCACAACGTTTGGCATTTTCTATGGGAGGAAAGCAATCTAGAGGCAGAATGGGATACTGACGAATGTGGATAGGTGCTCAGCTTATTACAGTTTTGAAGGCTGAATACAGGTGGATCCTTGACTTAAAATGATTCATTTAGCAACCGTGTGAAGTTACGATGGCATAAAAGAAAAAAAAAAGGCCCATGACTTAGGGGCAGATTTTGGGCTTAGCAACTATTGTGTCATCTTCACGGTCACACAATTGAAATTTGGGCCCTTGGCAAGTGGGACGTATTTACGAGAGTTGTAGCATCGCAAGGTTTGGTGTCTGCTGCGTGTGACCTTCACAACCGTGGGATTCGCTGAACAATTGCAGTGAGTTGTTTAACAATGGTAGTTATAAAAATTTGGATGCCCTCGCGTAACAACAACCAACTGGCTTAGCAAGGAAAATTCTCATCCCAAAGTTGGTGGCCAGTCAAGGACTACTACGTGTATAGTTCAGGAAAGGAGAGGAAAAAAATACAATAGCAGGGGTAGACTTTCTAATGCTTCAGAAGACCTGTCCATCAAAGGATAGCAGATCCTGGATCCAATATGTGTTTCGGAATGAATGTCGGAGCCACATCTGGAGGGAGATGTTGGTGATGATTCTAGTTCAACTAATTATGTGCCATGGTCAGTGTTGGGTGTGGGAATCTGTATTTCTAAACAGAAAGACACCTCACAAAGAGAAGGGGTAGAAAGGAACTAGGAAACCGCTATCCCAAGACAAAGGAGATAGACTGGGATGTGTAAAGCCCAGAGGATTTCCAAAAGGAAGAGGGTTGAGATGCCACCAGCCTTCACACGAAGGGGTCAGACTTTGATATTTACTCATTTATTACATTTTTATGCTGTGCACCTCCTCTGTGAGGTACCACTCTAAGCCGTTACAAGTTCTATCTAATGCTGAGGTTCAGTTTCTGTCACTTTCAGCCTGTATGATCAGTTCAAAAATATCTGGGGATTTTCAGGACGGTCACTGTTATTCTGGGACAGAAGGATGGGCATGGAGTCGGTTTAGCAGTTCCGATCAAGAAGGGAAGCAACTTAGAAATAAGGAGAAACTTCCTGACAGTAGGAACAATTGATTGGTGGAACGACTTACCTTCAGAAGTTGTGGGTGCTCCAACACTGGAGGTTTTCAAGAAGAGATTGGACAGCCATTTGTCTGGAATGGAATAGGGTCTTCTTCTTTTCTAGTTTGGACTAGAAGACCACCAAGATTCCTTCTAACTCGGTTGTTCTGTTCTTAGTAGTGAACTCATCGCTCAGTAAGTTTTATATGCTTGTTGAAGGTTCCAGATGTTCTCCTTAGCCATGGAAGATCTCTAAACTAGGTCTTCTCTCTGAAACTGGTACCCTCCGTGGGGTTAGATCATGTTGTATGAACGCTTCAGGAAGTTGTAACCCAAAACATCTGTAGGGTTGCCAATCTTAGCAGGACAGAGTCTCCCCTCTGCTTCCATTGAGGGCAGATTCTCACGTCCATCATTGTTTGGCATGGTGCATGCAAATTTCTGCATTGGCGGTGCAAAGGAGAACTAGGGGTGACATATTCCAATATTTAAGGGACTGCCACAAAGAAGAGGGGAGTCGACCTATTTTTGCAAAGCACCTGAAGGCAGAGCAAAGGAATCCCTGGATGGAAACTAATCAAGAAGAGAAGCAACCCAGAAGGAGAATTTTCCTGATAGTGACAACAATTAACGAGTGGAGCAACTTCCCTTCAGAAGTTGTGGATGCTCCAATATTGGAGATTTTTTTAAAGAAGAGATTGCATAGCTATTTGTCTGAAATGGTATAGGGCCTCCTGCAACTCTGTTTTATTCTGCTTTCTCCTAAGTCTTATTTTCCTTGGTGCCTGCTCAGCGACTCGGTTGCCAGGCTTGTTCCCTTTTAAGGCCACTCTCCATTCCCTGGGGTTGGGATCCACTGTATCGGTCTCCCCCGTGATAACCTCTGCCTGGTTTGCAGGATCTCTGCACACCGGCCGGAGTTCTCCGCCTCCTGGCAGTGTTCCTGAAGAGCAGCAGCAGATTGCCCGTCAGGGGTCATACACCAGCATCAACAGCGAGGGAGAATTTATCCCCGAAACCATGGACCAAAACGTAAGTTGCCTCGGAAACGGGTGCCCGGAGTCCTTAACTCTGGGGTGGCAGGAGCGGGGGGGGGGGGGGGAAAGGAGGGGAAATCTACCCGCTTGATTTAACCCCGTGGAGATCCCTGGGAATCCTCCTGCTAACTGAAGAGTCCTTCTGCTCGGTTAGCCTAGCACCGTGAGGGCAAACCTATTGCGTGCATGCCAGAAGTGGCACACAGAGCTCTCTCTGTGGGTATGCACACCGTTTGCCAGCTGCTCTTCTGGTTTCTGGCCTGCACATGATGCCAGCCAGCTGGTCTTTGCAGAAAAATGGCCAAAAAACAGGCCGTTTCCTGGGCTGTTTTCCAGCCATTTTCTGGGCCTTTTTCAGGCTATTGTTGGCCTGAAAAACGGCCAGAAAAATGACCTGAAAAATGCCCGAAAGCAGGTTGTTTTTCAGGCCCTTTTTAGATGAAAAACGGCCTGAAAATGGCTGGAAAAAACACGCTGGAAACAACACCAAGAATGCCCCCAAAACAGGCATGCAGTCTTCGGGTTTCCAGCGCTCCGGCACCCACACATGCACGCGCATTCTGGCTTGGGCACTCGGTGCCGAAAAGGTTCGCCATCACTGGCATAGCACGCGGGTTAAGTGGACACACTCGGGGTGATGTCCTACCCATTCTGAAACCCTCATTTCTCTCCTTCTGTTTTCTCTCAAAGTTGTTGGATCCATTTATCAGCCCAAACAACTCACTTTCTAGCAGTTGTCAGTCCCTCGAACGATCTGTAGAGAGGTAAGAACCGGAGAGCTTAACCATTCCCATATCATCTTCTTCTTCTTCCTCCTCCTCCTCCTCCTCCTCCTCCTCCTCCCCCTCCTCCTCCTCCTCCTCCTCTTCTTCTTCTTCTTCTTCTTCCTCCTCCTCCTCCTCTTCTTCTTCCTCCTTCTCCTTCTCCTCCTCTTCTTCTTCTTCTTCTTCTTCTTCTTCTTCTTCTTCTTCTTCTTC